GTTCCGCAACGTCACGGGCCAAGGCCTAGCATCCCTCAGTTTTTCGGTCGAAGAGAGGACTGGAGAGTCTTTCCGAGTCTGGAGACTGGAGTCTTTCCGAGACTTGTTCAAGGCTCTGGTACACAACGAATCGCAACTGACGGACTGCGCTGTTGATTAAATTGTAACGTTGCATTTTCTCGCCCTGTGAAACGTAGAGTGTCCCGGCCAGGGCAGTCCTGAAGCAACGCTCAAAGAAACTTGAATTATCCCTTGTTTGGCACTGGAAACAACGCAAACAGCACTGCCCCTGAAACGCGAAAAATACCACCGCTTAACGATGCTCGTGGCTCGGCCAAACTCAGCTCGGCTCCTGGAGACTCTCACATAGAGGAAATCCCGCCGGGGGTAGCCTTTCGAGAAGCAAGCTACTCTCTTAGGAATGAACGAGCCCCATGCCCTGAAAAAAAACGTTGTCCGGCACTGGCTTACAAATAACGACACGAAATGTGGATTTCTCGGGTTATTAAATTCACTCTATTCGTTATTACACTTACGTGGGCGTCTTGGCCCGAAAAATCTAATCGCGATCTGGCGCTACGCCACGGCGCGAATTCCGGCAATCACGCTTCTCTCTCACCCACGCTCGCTCTACGATCTCTATCCCAGGGGCCGGCTCCCGCGGCTCACCCTGGCTACACTCGTCTGATACATGCACACACTCGCTCCCACGCACTACTTCTTACGACGACACCACACGCTTTTTTACCTCGGAGTTTACCACAGTACTCTCCTCTTTCGCGGCTACTTTGCTGGTGATCTTGACCTCACTGTGCAACGGATGACGGTGATGGTCGTTCCGGGGTCGTCGAGAGCAAGGTCGGGTACGGCTGGCTGATCGTGGTCGCTGGCTCTCCTTGTCCATCTCTTCTTCTCTCTTGATTCTCTCTCTGAATTAACTACCGGAAAACGCGAAAAACTCGGGAGCTCTGGTTCGCTTGAATACTACAAGAGTGACGCGTTAGGCCCACCCATTAGTGCCGCCTTGCGCATTACCGCCCAATATCTTCGTACATAGGTATCGACAGTCATACTAGCGACTCCTACTCCTACACATGTACTTTCGAACATACACATACTCTCGGATGCAGCGCTGTTTACAACAATAGATTACGATACCTTTGGTACGTATACGCGGCGCAACGATTACAAGTATATGTACATATGTGGCGAGGTACTACAAATCCTTATTTACTAAGTACATATATATTATTTGTGTGTTTTTGTACGCCGTAACTCTTGACGCATGGGTTCCCACAATTCTCTTGTCTTCTTTTCTCTCCTTGACGCTACTCTTGTATCCGATTATTCTCATGAAGTACATGAAACACACAGACCCGGACCTTTATTAGCTCTTTATAAATGAAAATAGATTCCATCTTGATGACGCGTTTCGGCGCTTAATGCTGTAGGGTCGGAGAAAAATGACTCAGTCACAAAATCGCTCTTCTATCACCATGCACGCCATTTTTCATGTAAATAATAAATTAAACATAGTTTCATTCCAGTTTCGTTTGAACATTTGTTTTTACTCGCTTACTCAATCTTTGACTTTAAATTGAACTGGGCTTCGCCTCTCGACTTACTTAGTGGACTGTATAACTTTTTTGAAGCTGGTAATAGAGAGAGAGAGAGAGGAGAGAAAATAAGGGTTATTGATGTTCTGGAGCTTGTTTCAAAAGATTAATTTATTCACTTTAAATTACACTATGGCCCTTGTACGCTCTTTTATTCCGATAAAAGATTAGTGAAAAAAAAGGCTCAACGCGATTAGAAACAAAGAACTGAACTAATTGATTTAATCCCCCCTTTTTTGCTGTACGCGAGATAGCGAGAGAGGAACACTACTTTAAGGCTTGTTAGAATGAGTGGCTCACTTGTTAGAATTAGTTGAGGCACACTGGCCTCGTCGCATTCAGAGTAGCAGGGACGCCTGATCCCTTTGGTAAGCAGACGGCAACTGACTCGATACACGGGCTGTGTCTCTCTCGCTCTCTCCTCACATGGGTACAACAGTAGTACCAACATTACAGCTCTTCTACCTCTCTTCACCAAACCAAGATTCAAACAAACTCTCCCCTTGGCTTGTACTTTTGTAAAAATGACAAGGCAGTTAAAGTTTTAGTTGCTCTCCACCAAGAGAATTAAGCGATGGATAGGTCGACTAAAGGTACCGAAACAGGTTTTGATATTCGCGAATCTAACTAAAGAATATGTACCAGGAAAAGTCTCGAGGACATGCTCGAGCGGCCAACGACAAGGCGGTAAATTCTCAGATTTAATAAGAACTAAATTTCCTGGAGCAGTTGAACGTGATGGCCTTTGCCATTTCTCTTTGGATCGAAGCAATGTTCTTCCAGAACTGCTGAGAGAGCTGAGCGATAAATCGCCAACGCTGAAGTGGAGGTACGTTGGCATCGTATAATTTCAGTTCAGGCACAACGTATGGTTCTTTTAAGTTTAAACGAAAGGAGGGAGTGATAACCGCAAGACTTTCAACATCGCTAGTCAATGGTACGAGAGGCTGGGAGTTCAACAGAGCTTTAATTTATCACAGCAGAGTAAAATATCTTACAAACGTGAGTGTCTGGCTTTCAATCACTCTCTTAATGTGAACAGCAGCCTCCCAGATTCCACCAAAATGAGGTGCTGCTGGAGGATTGTAGTTCCACGTGATACCCAGGTCAGCTAGCTGAGCGTTGGAGTAAGATTGACTGAATTCAAGAAGCAACAAGAAGCAACAAAATTTGGGCAACTCCTTCTCAGCACCAGCAAAATTAGTGCCTTTATCGCTATATACCTCAATATAAGCGCCTCGACGCGCGGTAAATCTCGTGAAGGCCGCTATAAAGAAATCGGAAGAATAATCTTCCACAATTTTAAGATGAATCGCACGAGTGCACATGCAGACGAAAATCGCGATCCAACCCTTAGTGATAATTCGACCCCTGGCTTTAGAGAGCTGAACCTCAAAGGTTCCAGCATAGTCGATCCCCACTTTGGTAAATGCAGGTGCTGGTAAAACTCTAGGGGCAGGGAGAGGGCTCATCATTTGAGACTGAGCGCAACCAAAGTACCTTGTGCACACTACACAATGGGAGGTAACTGAACCCACCGTCTGAAGGCCGCCCAAGATCCAAAATTCCTGCCGGAGTGTAACCAGAGTAAGGTGAGGGCCTCCATTAAGACATCTGAAGTGTACTGAGCGAATAATTGACGTAGTCAGAAACTCATCAGGGTACAAAACCAAAGGGTGTTTTGTGCCAAGGTTCAAATTAGAGGCCTGTAATCGTCCACCAACACGTATCAGATCGTTATTAAGAAAGGGATCCAGCTTGTAAAGCTTACTGTTCAGGGGTAAAGGCTTCTGTAGCTATATAGGGAGACCTATGTTGACTTTCAAAATCTTAAATTCGGGACTGAAATAACGCTGTTGATGAACGGTGACTCAGTAAAGCTTGGCCTGAAAAATCTCCACTGGACTAAGGATAACTCCATGGGCCCTGGCGAAAAATTTTGAGTTCAGAAAGGAAACCTTTGTGAAACCTACTCCTTTATTTTCAGACTTTCTCCTCCAACATTGATGTATTTTTATAACGAATCGTAAACAGTAAGCGGTAATTCTTGTTAATTTTTTAAAATCTGAGTAGTGGGACACGTGATCCCAATGGGGATATTTTTCTTGTGAGACCAGGGCTGCAACAATCTCTCTCTTCGCGTCCTCAAATGTAGGATAGTTAGGATTAAGTTGATGCAAACATCAGGCCCGCTATGCCACTGCTCCAACAGCAGCGTTTGGGCGGGAAAAAGGCCTCGAAAAGCAACATCTGCGGGATTAAGTTTTCCGAGTACGTAATGCCAGCGAGCCCATGGAACGAGAGTCTGAATCTCAGCACAACGGTTAGAAAGAAAAACAGGCCACCTAGAGGGTAAGTCACCTAACCAATGTAATATATCCCGGGAATCCATCCACAGGTGAATCCCATCAATCGAATGTGTCATCTCTCCAACGTAATGACTCGTTAGTTTAGCTAGGAGGTGCACAGCGCACAGCTCAAGTCTGGGGATACTGACAGTTTTAAGAGGTGCCACCTTGGTTTTGGCAAGTAGTAAGGAGACGTGAACCTTATCTTCTTGAACTATTCTGAGATACAATAAGGTGGCATAAGCTAACCTTGAAGCGTTAGCATACCCGTGAATTTCAAGTACCTTCTCTGAGGAAGATAATTATTCCAGCGAGGTATCTTGAATTAATTTGACTCCGGAAGACTGACAAGCCAGTGCAGCCAAGGTTTTACATAAGATTCTGGGAGAGGGTTGTCCCAATCCAACTTTAAAATCCATAATAATTGCAACGCAATCTTGGCGGTGATAATCAGTGGGGAAAACCAGCCAAGTGAATCAAACAGCCTCGCTAACCTAGACAGGACCGATCTTTTCGTCCAAACTGCGGGCAGCTCCTTGAGCTTCACCTTATAGCAAAGAAAATCTGAATCAGGTAACCAAACGAGTCCTAAAACTGTGACAGAACCTTCGATGTCAGTAAGGTCAATATTCTTAGACGTTACTAATTCTGGACCCAAGTCTCAGATCAACTCTGGGGGGTTTGAGGACCATTTGTGAATCAAAAAGCCTCCATTAGTAAGCGCTCGCAGCTGCACGATTTTGAGTTTGGCCTCCCACTCAGTGTGGGCACCCGACAAGGCATCATCCATATAAACGTCCTGAGTCAGGGCCTCCACTCCCACCGGAAACTGCTTCTGCTCTTCAGAAGCCAACTGCTTGATAACACGCATAGCTAAAAAGGGCGAATAGGCCAACCCATATGTAACTGTTAGTAACTTGTAAATCCGTATCAGATCCTCCTCATTAAAACACCAATAGATAGTTTGGTAGATCTGGTCTGATTCCTGAATAAGAATCTGTCTAAACATTTTCTCTATATCAGTGGTAAAGACTATTCAATAATTTTGCCATCTCAACATGAGGTCGAAAAGAGGAGGTAGAAGGTTCGGGCCCGTGTCCAAAATGTCGTTGATAGATACAGAGTTTTTCGATCTGGCGGAGCCATTAAAGACAACTCGCATTTTGGTAGTGGTATTGGACTCTTGAATTATGTCGTGATGCGGAAGCAACCAATAACCATCACCAAAGGCTGGGACAAATTCTGTCATTTGATCCAACTCAAGATACTCACGCATGAACGTGGAGTAAGCCGCTTAGAAGTCTTTGTTCTGCTTGAATTTTCTTTCCATGTTGAGAAGCATGGCTCTGGAAGAGTTCTGATGGGGAGAGCATGAATTTTCAGAACGGAGAGGTTGACTTTAAAAGGTAAGCCAACCAAAAAACGACCTGACTCATCTCCGCGAGTCATCTTCAAATAGTGATCCTCACATTTTTGCTCCTGAGGGTTGGGCTCCTTTGTGCAATCTTGAGCAACAAGAGTAGATGTACTCAAGCCTATTGGACCTGACAACAACCATCCAAGCTTTGATTTCGTAGCAATGGGCTCGTGTGCTTTGCCTCTTTCAACAGTACCACTTACTATTTTTGCGTGGATGGCGGCGGTCGCACCAAGTATCATATCAATTCGATCATCAAGCATAAACTGCGGATCAGCAAGACGCAGGCTCTCAAATATGGATGACAAGGAAGTCAAAGATTTACTTGGCAGGCGGTATGAGAAAGCACGAGGGAGTATAAAAGCTTTGACCTTAAGAGAAACCTTTGATTTAAAATGAGGACTCAGCTCCAACAACACTGAAACTTGAGGCTGTCCTATCAATACGTACTTCGGGAGTTGAGTATTAGCTGTTCGTTGCTTCATTTTAAGCAAGTCACAGAGAGATTGTGATATTAAAAAGCATTGAGAGCTCTGATCAATCAAAGTTCGAACAACGATCTTCTCATCATTAAAGCATTTTACGCTAACACGAGAGGTACAAAGAAGAACACCCGCTCCTCGCTTGGTTTCTGCTTTATTTACATGGTGTACTGATGACGAGTTTTCCTCCTCCAACCTATCCTAGATATCCTCCTCAGACTCATTCTCCACAGAGGCTTGATGAGACAAAGTAGGCTTCTTAAGTTTATCAGTGTGAAGTAAGGAATGGTGTTTTGATTTACACTTATTGCAACAACCTTGGGAAGTACACTCTTTAATGAAGTGAGGGCCCAAGCAATTTAAACAACACCTACTTTGAAAAACAATATCCTTGCACTCCATAACTGTTTTTTCTTTTAAAACTGAACACGATCTTAGAGAGTGCGATCCCTCAGAAAGTTGACATTGGGACAGATCAGCATTTAATGCATGAGTCGCGCTTCTACAAGAAAGGCTGTAAGTGGAAACACTGCGTTCACATATGCCTTCCAAAAGTAGTGATTGGTTGAAGAAAAAGTTACGAAGCTGTTCAAATGTTGGCAGGTTGTTACTGAAACCAAGAAAGCATTGCCAATCACGTTTGGTCCCAATCTCAAACCTGCTAATAATCAGTTCAATGAACAAATCTGCGTCACTAATATTGCGTTCAACGACAGTGAGAGAGTCAAGCAGGGTCAGCATCACTGTTTTTAATCTCTTGAGCTTGCTCAGGAAATCCGATCTCATTGTCTTATAAACTAGTATGGCTTTCGCGTAATTAGCCACCGATCGTCTCTTGCCGCCATAAGTTTGGCTTAGAGTATATATATACCACGCAATGTCGTAATTCTCGACTGTGATCGGCAAGCTCTTTATCAGTTTAGCTGCTTCTCCAGAAAGGTGAGGGAAAGGAAAAGGACCATGACCACCGGATCGGTCCAGGACCGACTCATTTAAGTTGACTGAATTGTTGAATTGGTCCAGAAAATCGTTAAATGCAACCTTTGAGGTAAAGTAATCATCGCAGACGAGTTCATAAAATTCACTCGTTACATAATCATATCGAGGGTTGTAATCCGGTAGTTTAAGGATTTTCTCGTGGTTTTGTTTTAACCTTTGATACCTTTCCTTTAAGTGATCTAATTTTGACCTTGCAAAACCTTTGGTCATCTTGTCTTGACAGACCTTTTTAAAATTTGTGAAGGCATTAGCCATCGGACCATGGAGAGCCTGTTGAGCTTTGACAAAATTCTCCATTGTACTCATTTTAACCAATAAGAGAAAAAAAATAAAGAAGGTAAAGATCTACTGGGCATAGAACGGGAATTTATACTCTGGTGGTTTGCAACTTCTTGGACTTCAAAAGACAAAACAAAAAAAGATTTTTAATTTTAATTCTCACGACTTGGTAGAAGGGGTTTTTAATATATCTTATTTTGTTTAATCTCTTAACTTGCAATTCAAAAACTTGAACTGTTTGAAGAGCTGACTTGTTCTAATGTTATTGAAATAACTAGTCATTAAAGAGTTTTTTTTAAAGAACTAAATAAAGTTCTTACTTGTTAAAGTCGTATCTCAATTGTTAAACGAATTACAATTTTATATAAAATAGTAATTGTAATGATGAAAGCAGTGTATTATAAGAAATATTAATATGATATTCGCTGAAGGATGAGAAAAGTGCCCTTGATTTCTTAGTGTCATTACAACTAAATAAAATTAAATGAGACAAGATAATATAAAATTATCCAGAAGTAATAAGAGCAAGAAAAACAATGTAATTTATGCAACCGTAATGTTTGTGCACTTCACTTCGTAAGAAAGGATGAGAAAGAAAAAGAGCTTTATTAATAAAATCACAATGTTTTGGTCGTTTCACTTTCCTTACTCATGCAGTGTTGTCTCGAGGGGATATTCCCGTAGCTAGATGACGTCACCGTTGTAGAATGGAAAGAAGCCACCCGTAAATCGGTTCGATAGCTCGCCAGCTCTGCATCCAGGTATTTCCTTGATTTGCGGACTCCAATCAATAAACGTCAATTTGATGTGCGTCTGCCTTGTATGATTATTGCTCAACACATGCGTGGATAGTACTGTTTAGTAATTCTTTAGTTTAAGTTGTTTCGTTTCTGACATGGCACACGCGCGAACAATTTTTTTTTTTTGACGTTATCAAGGTACACTAGGACAATGTCTCTTTCTCTCGCAGCAAGCGAGAAGGAAAAAGAGCAAAATGGCGTTGTAAATTTACCTGGCAACGAAGTACGAATAGATACTGCTTCTGCTTGTGGTACACAAGGAAGCAGGTTAATTATTAAACAATGTCTTTGGCTCAGCAACGTGGCACACGAGGTGAGCTATATATATGTGGCTTCCTCCCACGGCACACGAGAAAGAAGGCGTCTCTGGCTCTATAACGTGGCACACGTTGTGAGTTACATATATGTACATGGGTATGTATACTGTCTCTTCCTCTCGCAGCACCCGAGAAAGAAAAAGAGCAGCTTTAGTCGTCTACTGTTACGACGCACTTGATATGATATGCATCATATGTGTATAGGTACACTTATTATGAACTGGTGAAATGATGATAGCTGCCGGGAGTTTCTCTCTTGCGTGGTACTTTCTTCTTCTCCTTGTCGCGTGAGCACGAGCTGGTGTCAAAAATGGCCGTCGAGGCGTTGCCAACCGTGTGGTGCACTTCTTCTCCCCGGCTTGAAGGACTTTGGTTGAATTGAGCCCCTCGACTCACTTAGTAGACTGTATAACTTTTTTGAAGTCGGTAATAGAGAGAGAGAGGAGAACAATTAAGGGTTATTGATGTTCTGGAGCTTGTTTCAAAAGATGAATTTATTTACTTCAAATTACACTATGGCTCTTGTGCGCCCTTTTATTCCGATAAAAAGTTAGTATAAAAGTAAGGTTCAAGGCGATTAAAAACAAAGAACTGAACTAATAGATTTAATCCCCCCTTTTTTGCTGTATGGCAGACAGCAAAAGAGGAACACTACTTTAAGGCTTTTCAGAATGAGTGGCTCACTCGTTAGAATTAGTTGAGGCACACTGGCCTTGTCGCACTCAGAGCAGCAGGGACGCCTGATCCCTTTGGTGAATAGACGGCAACTGACTTGATACACGGGCTGTGTCTCTCTCTCTCCTTACATGGGTACAGCAGTAGTACCAACGTTACTGCTCTCCTACCTCCAATCACCAAGCCAATATCCAAACAAGCAGTATTATTTGAAATAAAAATATTTACTAAGATTGCGTGAAGCATGCCTGATTTATCTAGTATTTTAGGTAGAACTATTGAAGTGCTCAGACATAAGTTATTAGTTAAGGCAACATAACTTCACTTTTTTCTAATATAACTATTTGTTTGTTTTGAATGTATTTTGATGAAAACAGAGTGAAATTTACTGAAAAAAGTAACCTCACTTAAATAGTTTATACAAATGTGCAAAGATTGTTTCGAAGAAATTTTGTGACAATATAACTTTTAACTAACAGTAAAAACGTTATATTTCGAGGGAAAAGCAAGATATGCCAAAAGTAACGATTTTTATCGGTGTTCTAAAGAAGTAACAAACATTTAGGAGCACAGCACAAATAAATATTTTTGTTGTTATTACAAGATAATCACAATTCTACGGATTTAGAATGAAGGTTGATAAAATGAGAGTGAATTTTTTTCAAATACTTGCACATGGTCGGAATGGTAATAAAAAATGCTGACTTTTTTTAAAAATCATTCCATAACAACATTGCCTGAAAAAACATCTTTCCAAATATTATAACAAGAAAAAAAGCATAATAAGCCAAAAATAACAATTTTCACGAGTTTTTTAAAGGAGTAAATAATAACACACATGCTAAGTTTTCTGGCATTATTTAATATTTTATCATTTTTTATTTTATATTTTTTTTTACTCCAAGTGCCTCCAGAACTTTAATTTTATGGGGATTGTCTGACACACTCAGAGTTTCTTATTATTATTATTGAAGACTAGTCAATTTAGTGTGAATATAGGCAGATTGTCAGAGTTAAAATCCAAAAATATAAAAGTTTTAAGTTATCCTTGAACTGAAATACATCCTAAACAGTACATACGAACATTTATACTATTAGTGCTACCTTTCAATAAAACTGTGATTTTATAGTTTATGACAGAAGAACTAGTTAATTCTGCGAAAGAACTATAAAAAAACAAGTCAATAAAAATAAAAAATGTAAAAGAAAATCGATTTACTCTTAAAATTGTAAACTGCAAAAGAATGTTTCTCTCTAAAAACGTAAGCGTAATAAACTTTCATATTTTAAAATGACTTAAGACTATTATAATCTGTACAACTTATTAATTTTTGTTATGAAACTAATTTCGAATTCGCGCCGGTGAAGATTTTCCTATAAATGAGCATAAAGAGATATAGCCATTTTCTTATATATTGTTATTTTATAATTTTGTATATTAATCAAGAAAGTTCACAGTTTGTTAACAAATGCTTGTTATTTGAAAGTTAAGTTTATTAAGTTACATATATTTGCATATTTTATTCTTCTTATTACGTAATAGAATAACATTCTTAAGTATTAATGTACATAATGCTCTGATACAGCACAGTGGCATTAACCGGCATTAACGCACCAAGTAATTTAAAATAAATTTTATATAGTGCTAATCTATTATCCTTACAGATACAGTAGGACTTATCTTTACAGATTCGTTTTTTGAACAAATTAAGATTCGTAATTAAAATACTTGATACATAATTCATAAATCAGCAATGTAGAATACACAAGAATCTTAATGTCGCTAGTAATGGCTCTATGAGAATGCTTGGCCTCAAGCTCTGCTGCCTGCAGCGATGCTGCAGGGGTTCAATCGGGGTATTCGATATATCGAGAGTCAGATGAAATGTGACATAACCATAAGCTATTTTGAATTAGTTTAGGTGATTGATGT